TCGCGGCTTTTTTTTTTTTTTTCTGCCGCTTGGGGCGGCAAAAACCCTGGAGCCGGTCCTGGGCAGTGCCACCTAAATACCAACCAAAGCAACCTCCATCCTCCAGGCCAAGTCTCTGGTTCTTGAGAAGGGTACAGTACATGCAATCTGATAGTGACTCAAGAATCCAGTCAGTGTAGTGGTTGTTACGGGAGCACTGCACCTGTTTTACAGCAAGATTATCAGTACTAATGAATTACTCTGTCCCTAAGAAAGATGAGTAAAACAATCGAACACCAGGTGGTTGAATACCAGTGCATCACTGCAGGTCATTATAGAGGACATTAGTGCTGAGAGTAGATTGGTGGCGGGATTCATTAGCAAGCCACGATGCAGATAAGAAACGATCTCTCGTGTCTGTCCTGTTCTCTAATCAAAATACTGCTGCTAATCTAAGCACATATGTGGCACTTTACATTTTCAAAGCATTGTACAAACAGCAACTAATTAACCATCTTCTCTTTTTTCACCCCTAATATTTGTTTGATTTTTGCTAGAATACCAGCTTGTTGTCAAAGTATGTGAGGAAAAGGCAGTCGGCTGCTGTTGTGTTGAGGGCTATATAACTAATTAGACAGATAGATGTAGTCTGGGGGTTTTGTGTTAAGATATAAAGCTCCCTAGCTCACTTTAGGGCTTCTCTATTGGGTCAGATTCATTTTGATAGCAGGACTAATGTTTTTTTCTGTGCCTGGACTCAGAATGGGAGGGCATGTGTGTTAGGTGCCATCAGTTCCGTACAGGAAGTGTGGGAAAACCAGCATTTGTGGCATTCCAGCTTGGAATATCAAACTGATGGAGCCCAAGCATAATTTATGTCTATTTGCACTACTATTAGATGGTAAATGGTCCCCTTTTCCCCCCATCTTATCTTTTTACAGTTTCCATCTAAGATTTCCTTTTCCTTTTTTTGTCCTCTCCATATCTGGCATTGACCATTGCGAGCAGGCGCTTTCAGGACAACTTGATTTTGTTTTATTTTTTGCTGTCATTATCTCCCACTATAAAATTCTCCATGGGAGTTGATCCTGGAATTGCCTGTCTAGCCAACGTAGGTTTCCAAGTTCCTTCAGCTGCAATAAACGGAGAACACTTCTCGCTCCTCACTTTACTATTCTGAGAAGACTTGGCAACTGAGGTCTGATGGTGTCTTCCCATTAAAATCTAGTTTCTGCAAGGCCATGGGAACCACTATCTCTTCTTAAATACACTGCTGACTGACATCTGTTTTGCTACTGATTTAAAAACTTCACATTTCTTCTGAGAACCCATAAATTATACTGCACTCCCCGCTCTGGAGTTCAACTTCTTGGACATTGCTGGACATGAATGTGAGACAGCGTACAAGCTACATCTTCCTGAGTTAATTTGATCTGGAAATCACAACTTATATACTAACTTTCACATACCCATTTCTTGGCTTTTCCCTCCCAAAGTGGCCAGAAAATTTAAAAGCATATTTTCTTGTTTGTGATCTTTCCTTTTGGAAACATTTAGTGAATTGAAAACTGTACGTTGGTTTTATAGGCTGATAAAACACTAAATAATAAACCAAACAAATGGATTTACAGCCCTGAATTGCCTGGCATTATTGACTTCAACTTCAGACATCTTAATGTATTACAGAATGACCAAAATTATGTTATTCCAGATTGGAAGTTCAGGTTTTAGAGAATTTGTTATTTATTTTGCAGCATACAACACTAATTACATCCTGACTGTCAAACAATTTTCCATGTCCAGAGTATATGTTGAAAAAGACAGAAAGCAGAAGAATTACTCTCCTTTCTCTGGTGGTTGTGCTTTTGTTGTTGTTTTTCTCTCTCCTTGTAGATTATCATTTTAGTTTGTGTGTTTTCTGTTTTCAACAGGCCTGTGAATGGAGGTCGTGGGTCCTCCCCAGTATAACTCCACTGGACTCAATAGAATTAAATGTGCCCACCTTCCTGTAGGTTTGGTTTTTACACGTGACATTCCTTGTAGAAAG